CTCTGGCTTCTACAATAGCCACCCCTTTCAGATTCCTGCTCTGAAATAGGAGTTCTATTTCACCCATAGCAACTGGTTCTAATTCCCCCTCTCTCTTCTCTTCTACTAGAACTGACACGTATTCTTCTGTTCCTACTCCTTTTTCTCTTTTCTAGTCTCTTTCTACTCCATTTGTTCTTCACCAGCTTTCAATTAATTTCTTTTTCTACTTTATTTCCTACAGCTTTTAAATTACCTATCATGAAAAGAACATTTCTAGAAATGCAGGAAATGTTGCTGTTGTTTTTTTATTTGAACTCTGCATGTTACTTCAGCATAACCTGAAATAAAATGAAGGTTGATGGATGGGAACACGTTATGAGGCAACAGCTTTTGTAATTCAGTTTTGAAATGAACAATATTAAAATATAAGTGACTTCCATGGCTCAAATCCAAATATGCTAAACCCTTTCTTGAATAATTATGCAAAAAAGAAGTGGTGTTAGGAAAAATGAAGTAATGCAATTCATTGCATAAAAATGTTCGTTTGCTGTTTTGCTCGAAGATTAGTCATAAGATCAAGAGATGCTGCAGTTCCTAATGAAGCAAATTAGGAAATGTACACATAAGGCATGTAGGCATGTTTTTTAGATGAGACATTGTGCAAAGACCAGTTGTTCATCAAAAAGTGCATGACTGAAAACAATGAATAGGGTTTTTTACTAATAGCTGAACGATTATGCTGAATCAGTGCATAGGTCTGTACAGCCCAAGCCCCACCACAGAATATGAAATCCTTAGTATTCTTTATGTTCTATTTAGCACCTCTGTTTCTGACAGTGGAGGTAAAAAGCATCAATGCTTTTGTATTCTTCCCTCCATGTATGGTATCCCATCCTTTGCATTTGAAATATACACATAGTACAGCATCCTCTGTTATAAGACTAATCTTTATTGACTAAATTGATTAGCAATTGCATGTGATGCAGATATGACCCAAGGTGATTTACATCATTCAAATACAATATGTAAACTAAAAACAATAAGTATTAAAATACTGAAAAGAATCAAACAAATGCAGTGGTGCCTCGACTTATGAATTTAATTGGTCCCAGAAGATGATCATAACTCAAAATGGTCATAAGTCGAAGCACCATTTCTCATTGAAATGCATTGAAATGCAATCAATCCATTCTGGCCAAAGGAAAAAAAAATCACGAAACAAAAAATAAATCACTGCAAGACTCATTGGAAGCGTGATTAATCCCTTCCGGCTGAAGGAGGGGGGAGAAAAGCAATCAAGCGTGCAAGACCCATTGGAAGTGCATAGAAAACAAAGGGAGCACATCAGAAATGCACAGAAAATAAAGGGAGCATGTTGGAAATGAACAGAAAACAAAGCAAAAAGCAAGGGAAGCATGCAAGACCCATCAGAAATGGGGAAAAAATCCCCAAAAGCAACCGAACCCCCCAAGACCCAAAGGAACCCACCAAGGAAATGGGGGGAAAACCAAAAAGCTACCAAATCCCCCAAGACTCATCGGAAATGGGGGGGGCAAAAACAAACAACCCCCCAAGACCCATTGGAAATGGGAAAAATCACTTCAAAAAGCAACCAAACCCCCAAGACCCATCAGAAATGGGGGGAACCAACCAAAAAACAAACCCCCAAAGACCCATCACAGCACAGAAACAGCGCAGAAACATAACCCCCCCAGCCCAAAACCAAGCTGCAAAAACACCCGGAATCGTTTTTTAAAAGCAGAAAGTAGCACCTTACCTTACCAGGCAGCCTCCTCCAATTGCACACTTGCTAACTGCTGGGGTGAGAGAGCTACAAAATAGCAGCTTTGAATTTCTCGCCTTTTTCCTCTCCCTTTTTCTGTTTGTACCTGGAAGCTCTGGCCGCAAGTTGGAGCAAAAGTTTACTGCCAGAACTGGCCGTTACTCGAAATGGTCGTAAGTAGGGACGTTCGTAAGCCGAGGCACAATTACAGTCAACCCTCGATTTGCAAACTTAATCCGTTCCGGAAGGACGTTCGTAAGTTGAAAAGTTAGTAAGCTGAAGTACCATTTCCCATTGAAATGCATGGGAACGGAATTAATCTGTTCCAGCATTTCAAAAAAAAAAATACCAAAATAAAAATAAAAAGAGCAAGTCCCACGCTGGGACTGAAAAAAAAACACACACAAAAAAGAGAAACATAACCCCTCCAGTCCAAACCCACCCTCCAAAACCCACACAGAAAAGTTTTTTTTTAAGGACTTACCAGTCCGAAGCCTGCTGGTGCTCCGCTGCCTACATGCAGCCAGGGGTGAATGGCCAGGTGCCCGGCCAGCTCTAGCCTCCCGGCTTTGGGTGAGCGCTGCCTCCAATCATGGCAGTGGGGGACCCCAGGGAGGTCTCCAATGGCGGAGCTCCCAGGGCTTCTCTGCCACCGTTGGAGACCTCGCTGGGGGTCGCCGCCGCTGCGATCGGTGCCTTTGGAGGTTTCAAAGGGCTTTCCCCCCCCGACATCAGAGGAAGCCCTTTGAGAGCTCTGAAGGTTAAAAGGCAGGACGAAAGGGTGGGCAATTCGAATTCCTGCCCTTTCTCCCTGCCTTTTAGCCTTTGGAGCTCTCAAAGGGCTTTCCCCCTGACATCAGATGAAGCCCTTTGAGAGCTCTGAAGGCGCCGATCGCTCCAATGGCATCAACTTGTGAACAGAGCCTCGTCCATAGGTCGAGGCTCTGTTTGCAAGTCAATGCTAATTTTTTTCCAACGGAGCAGTTCATAAGTTGAAATCTTCGTAACTAGGGCCGTTCGTAAGTTGAGGGTTGACTGTATACCTTTTTTGCCTCTTGAATATGCACTGTTTCAGATTATCTGAATTAGTGCTTTGGCCCTCAGTGTGAAATAATAATAAGCATAATCATAATCATATGCCATCAAGTTAATTCTGACTTATGGCAACCCTTTTGAGGGTTTTCTTGGCAGAGAATCTTCAAAAGTAATTCTCCATTCCCTTCTTCTGGGGGCATCCTGAGACAGTGCAGCTTGCCCAAGGGAAAACATGCTAGCTCTTTTGGGGTGCATAATAACTGAATCTGAACTGTATTTAACATTTATTTTTGTCCTTACAGTTGCCTACCCAGCCCCAGATCCTTTATAGTTTATTATTTACAAAAAGCAATCAATCTCACGCTTCTCTCAAAAAGAAGAATTTTAATTTAATTCTCTTGCTAAGTGGTCTTTACTGTATTATGTATAGTAGGGCACCTCGAGAACTGGATATAATTTTGTAGATACCCTTGAAATTCCTTGATCAAAATATAATCATAGTTTCAGAACAATTTGACAAACTGTGACATCCAGGTTATTTTTATTGAACATGTCTGGTGTTTAAAAATCAGTATTATTTTGAAACACCTGTACAGTATTTCTTTATCTTTTTGACTTCTGGTTGATGTTCTTCTGTTTTTATCCTGTACTTTCTGGAGGACTTATTTAACAGTATGCAGGGGAAAAAATGAGTAGTGAAAAGCCATCAGACGTACAATTTTACCATGTTTTTGAGATAAAGTACACAATCCATCCTTGTAAGAGTTATAGAGCCAAAACTGCCACATAGATACAATCTCTTATTTACTTTATATGCCCAGCATCTTTTCACACACACTCAAAGTGGCATGCAGTACAGAATATTGCTTACTGTAAATATGATTCTTCTGCTTTAGATAAATAATCAAAAACTCTGCATTTTCTTCAAAAGGTGCTCTGTATATCCCTATAGCCCATCTTCTTTTTGTCACTTTGCCACTTGATTTTATTTAAATGTCTCCAGAGAGTAAGATTCCTGTCATGCCCATTTCATCTGTCTCATGGTTTACTGGGAATCATTCTAAACACCACGAGAAACTCCACTGTTGCTACAAATACACTTCTGTACAATTTCAGTAGGTGGAGGAAGGTTTACTCAAATGCTTACCACCCCTGTTATATATTATAACAGTAATAGATATGAGATCATATCAGAATCTTAGGTGAATGGACTTCTGTGAGCCATTTGGGAAGATGGGTAGAATTGTTGAAATTGTAGGCAGGCAGGCAGAACTGAGTTTTCTCTTTATGTTAGTTACTGAGACCTGGCTGAAAGACTTAGTAATCAGAAATGGAGGAATGTGAAGTTGGGTTAGCTATTGGTTTCTAGTATGTAAGCTGATTTCCTCCCAGTTTCCAAAAATCAGGACTTGCCCATTAAAATGGTATTCTACAATGGATAGTGGTGATGATGGAGTGACAAAGTTATTGAAGCCTCTGAGACTTGAGATAGGATGCTCTGTCTATTGAATTTAACAATAGTATAGAAACTGGTTGAGCAAAACAATGGACCCATCTAGTTGTTAGCAAATTGTATGTATTTATCATATGTAGAGTATGTTAGGAGTGTTTTGAGTTTCATTGCTCCCTTACAGTTGGGGAGAGAATATCCATAATGTTTCTGCACATGAGTCAGAACTCTGGGAAATCAGTGCCCTGCTCATGTGGAGAATTCCCACAATAGCAGTGGCTCTTCAGACTCAGAGCTTTTCATGTATAGGAGAGCAATATACCATTTCTTTTCATCTGTCACTCAGATTCTGTAAGTTTAATACCTACATTTTCAGTTTTTAGAAAAATTCCAGAATTAAAGGTAGTAACAGTAAAGTAGCATAAGTAAGACTGAGAACCTCAAAATAACACTTAGAGATGCTAAACGACTAGGTTCCAAACAATTAGGTAAACAAAACAAAAATTAAACTTTGCAGCATTTCTGAGACTGTCTAAAATGTAAAAAAGATGTTCACTGTTGGATACCATGTAAGAAGAAAATCCTTACATCATACTTGTGGGTGGGTTTGTACTTTCTGTTTTGGACATATGCCGTATTGGTCTATTGAAATATGACCCCTCTGTTTAAACTACTAATGAATCCTGATTTGCCTGGACTATTTCAACAATACGTTTTTCACCATTTCCTTCTTTTCTGTAACCCCTTAAGGAGCTTCTACACAAAATTCCAATGCAGTGGAGCCAGAAAAGCAGGTTGACAACACAGTGAAAATGGCTGGAGTTATTGCGGGGCTTCTTATGTTTGTAATTATCCTTTTGGGGGCAATGCTTACAATCAAGAGAAGGTAAGTCTTTAAGATCTCTAGTTGGCTTTGAATTGTTCAGTTTTCTTTCATTCGTTGAATTTGGACTGTACAGTAGCATATTTTCTGCTTATTTGTGGGAACATGGTACAGTACTTCAGGGTTATTGGGGGGGGTTTCAGTGGAATTTTGGATGCTTGTATGATATCATAGCTTCTCTTTGTACCCTCACTAATACATGGAATCTCCTCCATGTGTCTGTCCAATGTGACTAGGCTGTGTCTCTGTGTGTGTACTACAGAGATGGACAAAATGTAGACCTCCTGATGTTGTTGAATTGCAGCTACTTTCCTCCCTGCCTAGCATAGCCAATGTTGACAATATATGGATGGCTGCACTTTGCCCATCCCTGGTGTTTTGCAAGTAGTGGGTGTGATGAATCATGTGGGTATTTACCTCACCATTGGTTCCTTTGCACCTGGCTTGGTAAGTGTGCAAAGGGTATTGAATATTTTGGATAATGGGAGTGCACAGTCACTTTTTTAAAAAAGGAGGGCCTGGGTTCTAGACCCAATTCTGTCACTGGTTGTATCTGTGCTACAGATTCCTACTAGTTACACAGTTATTCTTTCTTCCTAGGGAATTTTGGGAATTGTGGTTCTCTGAGTTTTGAAGGGAAGAACAGTGATTTCTAGGGGAATTAGAAACACTTTATTAAACCACAGTTCACAAGATTCTTTGGTGGAAGTCAGACTGTTAATATTTTATTCTAAGAATAAACCAATATTCTAAAGCTGAACTTACATGCCTATAGTTTCAATCAGCCACTTTGTACTACCTGAGCAAGTCATTTCACTTAGATATAAACTGGAAAGCAGTGCCTCATGGAGGTGCTGAGGAAAGTAATTAATTATCAAGCACTTCCACTCCCTCAGATGATCAACTATATGTAGACACAAGCAGTATTATTGAAGTTGAATTTTTGTTGTTTTCACACTGGAATAGCAAAATACAAGGACATTTTCTGCAAGAGTTTATTTGCTGACTGTACTTGTGCATGTATATGTATAAATATGTATATATGTATTCGGATAAGGGCAAAATATACATTTTGTAGTTGTATGACATTTCCCCTCTGATATCAATATTACAACCTATGAAATGTGTGGGATGCTACCAAAAACTGCCTTTCTATTCTTTTTTGAAGGAGCGGTGCAGTAGATCCAAGGTGATTATTAATGTTCTAAGTGTGGCTTGACTATGCATGCTCACCGACAGCCGTTCCCTCTGGAATCATCCATTCAGATGGATAAAGTTATTAAAAACGTACCTTGGGAAGGGTTGTCTGAGGATTTCTTTCAGCTCATCTATGACCACCACTTTATGAAGTTATTGCTGGCATGACTTGGAAAGAAAGTTTTGAAGCAGTCCATCATTTTTTTACCATCTGTGTATGCTTTCTGCGTGAACCACTGGCTCTCTCACACTTTAAACCAGCATGGCATGTTAGCTGAGTTTCCTTGCAATCATTTTATAACCACCTCACCTACCTCATAATTGTGATTTGGTGATTCAGTTAAACTGGCAGTGTCTGACACCGAGGGGGCATTTTTACATTTGTTCTATAAGAGGTCATTTTTTGTTTGTTTATTATTATGCTCATATTTCAAAGCATAATTTCAAAGAAAGCCCACTGTCTGCCAAGTTTTGGCCGGGCCTCGACTGTGTCCATATGCACCTGCTAGTAGGCCAGTTTTCCATCTTAAATTACATTAATTGTAGCAGTACAGTTTCTTGTCAAAAATAAAATAAAATTCAAATCTATATGTGCTTTAATTGTAGATTAACTAGCATGAAATCTGTTTTGAGGTAAATGTTGTAACCTTGAGAAGATCATTTTTACATCTGGTTCTAGATTAAATATTTGCATATTTTATACTCACTGGTGAGAATGAATCATTTTATAATGTCACCTCTCCAGAATGTGATTATAATATATTCTGTGTATTTTGTTTTACAATTAGGGAATTCTCATTACATCTTGATCAAACACACTTCTTTCCATGTTCCGTGTTCTCTGATTTCAAGGGATTTTTCATTCACATCTGCTTGATTCAGTAGCATACACAAAATAAATCTTAGTGCACTGAAGATAACCTCAACTCTCTTTGCATCAGTAACAGTCAGAGGGAGATCCTTAGGCACGCTTCAGCAAAAATACTACCTTCTCCACAAAGATTAGGGCATTCTTTTTTTTATCCTGCATACATTTTTTGTAACTGTGCAGAACTTTCAAAGAAAGGGATCAAAACTTTTATACTGTTTAATATAGTTTTATTTTAAAATTTAGATGGTAGGGGAGAAAGAGAATATTGTAAAGAAAAAATTAAATATGTATTCTCAAAGGCTTTCACGGGCGGGATCTGATGGTTGTTGTGGGTTTTTTGGGCTCTTTGGCCATGTTCTGAAGGTTGTTCTTCCTGACGTTTCACCAGTCTCGGTGGCCGGCATCTTCAGAGGACTGGAGTAGGAGCTCTGTCCATGCTCTGTTGCTGTTTGTTGGATAGTTGAATATTTATAGCTGTGGGAACAGCTATTGTTGATCTCCTGAAAAGAACAATAGCTGTTCCCACTGTATTGTTGATCTCCTGAAAAGAAAAATAGCTATTCCCACAGCTATGAATCCAACAAACAGCAACAGAGCATGGACAGAGCTCCTACTCCAGTCCTCTGAAGATGCCGGCCACCGAGACTGGTGAAACGTCAGGAAGAACAACCTTCAGAACACGGCCAAAGAGCCCCAAAAACCCACAACAACCAAAAAATTAAATAGTTCTACTAAAGTTTCAGTTACTTAGTACTGTTCTATATTCCATTCTTTATTAATTCCAGTTGAACACCATGAAATCAACAAGTTGAAAAACCATACAGGAGTCTTATGTACAGGAACTGTTTTGCGTGGAATTGTATTTCACTTTTATGTACTTGTCAAGTTACCACCGTTTTTGAAATCTGATGTCTCCCTGTGCTCTTGTTTACTGTCTCATTATTGTAATCATTCTCATTCATATGAAGAACGATACTCTTTGGGGTAGAATAGTGCAGCAGAATCCTTTTGTATACTGAATTCGCCAGATGTGCATAGATTGTAAAGACCTAGGAGATATTTTTCTAACACTTTTATTTTATATTTTTAGACTACTAAATATCATGTAATAACAGTATAATGTTAGTTATTTTAATATACATCATAAATATATTAATGAAAACACCCTTCTAAAAAAATTGAAATGGTTTTAATGGGATTCCAAAATATTACAGACCATGCTCAATGTGAATTATACTCCTTGCTTATTTATTTTTAAATACAATACCCCCTTTCCAATTAGTACTGGTGGGGACGATGAATGATTCTGAAGTTAAGAATTATGGCTACTTAGTGTGGCTGGATGCAGGTGGTAAGAGGAAAAGGAAAAATGATGAAAGTGACAAAAATGGGCACAAAATGAACCACAAACCAAAACATGCTCAATGTGAATTATACTCCTTGCTTATTTATTTTTAAATACAATACCCCCTTTCCAATTAGTACTGGTGGGGACGATGAATGATTCTGAAGTTAAGAATTATGGCTACTTAGTGTGGCTGGATGCAGGTGGTAAGAGGAAAAGGAAAAATGATGAAAGTGACAAAAATGGGCACAAAATGAACCACAAACCAAAAATAACCAAAAATGGTAAGAGGAAAAGGAAAAATGATGCAAGTGACAAAAATGGGCACAAAATGGAGCACAAACCAAAAATAACCAAATGAACCCGGCTGATTCGTAGTTCATTCCATGACCCAATTCGGAAATTGTTCAGTTTTGCCAAAGCAAAATGAAACACTGAATTTTTCTCCCCTTGATAGCAAACCAGGATCACCCACGATTCTGCTACCCCTTTCCATACATGTTGGGCCCCTCCTTCCACAGTCAAAACCTGAATTATGCCATTGTCTGTCTGGGGAAGACAATTTTAAAACAACAAAGAGTACATTTAATGAGTAAGTAACTAATAGGTCAGTGATGATACAGATCAGTGATGATAACCTATATCCCATTTGCACAAATCCCACTATTTATTCTGAAACTACTGATTTAATTAGTGAAAATAAACACTCAATTCAACTGATTAACTGACTTCACCACCTTTCATTAGCAACAAGAAATCTATCTCCTATTTTCCAAATTTTAACAATAATGAATTAGTTTTCAAACATAATATTCCAGGCTCTGGCCATAGATTACAAAGTATATGACTAAATTCCTAGAAGCAATTGTTTACAATATTTATACCTTTAAGGTTCTTTCCACTATTACTGGTAGACATGATGGGTGGAATTCTGCTGCTTAGGGTAGTAAGTCACAAATAGAGTAGGTTCATTGAATCTGTGAGGATTTGGTGAATCAGCTTCTCCATCAATTTCATTGATTCAATTGTGAATAACAATGCTAAACCTCACTATAACTAGTTACCAATGTTAAGTGGACAGATCATGCTGCTGAAACAAATCAAATGGATTCATTTCTCTGCAAGAGAAACTAGAATTCATTCCTTATGGTCACTGTCATGAATGATGGGCTTACACTGATTTATTAATACATTTAGTCCTACCAGTAATTTAGAACCAAATTACATTTGAGAACATACACATAGTCTGATTTGGTGTGCTTGGTTTTGTCTTGCTTTGTTTTATTGTATACTGCAGTTGTTTGTGTATGTGTGTGTGTGTGATTTAGACTGAGATCATGGGATGCCATGTCGAAGGAAATGAATAGTTCACAAAGGAAAAAATTGTTAAGGAGTCACGATTTGTGTTCCAAATCATGTGACTGGGTTGCAACATGGAATGCAAGCAGTGACTCCTTAACTAATGAAATTAATACATAATATAGCAAAGAAGAGTGGGCCAGCTGCTGGTCCTTACAATTCCATATGTAAACAATAGGATTTGGTCCAGAAAGATTCTTCTTTAACACTATTTCCATAACTGGGCACTTCCATCCGGGAGTCACAAGCTCAGCACTAGGCAACGACACCCAGACAGTACAAATATCAAATAATCTCAACAACTACCTGGTGCCAAAGTTCTGCAGTCGTCCAGCATAACCACTAGATCTGTTTATCTAATATAATATCCTATAAATTATTTCCCACTTTCATTTCAGCCAAAAAATAAGAAAGAACTATATGAGCCACTTTATATGATGTTCCAAAAGTTTCATCAGTATTTATTTATTTAAAGCACTTGCAGCAGATCATACACAGTGGATATATAGGTTCAAGAGCTCAGATAAGTTACTTTTTGTAATCATGCTGGCTTGGGGAACTGTGGGAATAACAGTCCAAAAAAAAAGTTACTTTTGAAAGTTCTGTTATTTGGACTGGAAGGTTCTCAGGCATTGCAAATAAATTGGATAACAGTGGTTTTCTAAAGAAGAATATTTACCTAATTTGAAAGAATACATTCCAGAGATGAGACAAGAAGCTATCCAAAGATATTGATGGGCTGGAACAATTTTATTGAGGAGAAAATCAATCCAAAGATATGCATAAACTGGGAGAATTTGTGCAATAAATAGCTTAATTTATTGCACAACAACTCCTTAAATAAACAACTTTTTAAACAGAGCTTAGTCTTTAAAAAAAAAACAAGCATATGCAGCTTATCATCTTTGAATTCAGGGTTCCATACAAAGAATAATCTTTCAACCCAGATAAGAGCTAGTACAAGATTCCTTTCTCTTCGAAGGCAATGAGGCAGAAAAGTAGTAATTTAATTAGACAAACTTGAGGTACTACCATCAGGTATCAAAGTGACATCTGCTCATGGCCCAGGGCATTATGGCTGATCTGTAATAGACACAAATCATTTAATTTTCCTGAATGTAGCAATTTGCTAACAAAATAGGAAAATGATGGCAATGTGGAACTGTGTATCTGAAATTGTTTCAGACTGACAAAGACACACTGCAGGAGTAAACATGACTTACATTAGGTATGGGCGAATAGTCAAAGATTTCATCTGATTGACATAACCATACACACAAACTGATATACTCCTTAGAAGCTTAATTGTCTTAGGAAATTAAAGTGATCGATGAATATTAGCACCTCAGATCCATTTGACAACATTCAAGTTCTGTAGGTAAGGAAGTTTGTCAATATGCTACAGTTGAATATTGTG